TCCCTACAATGCTAAGGTCAGTAGTGCTTATTTTTATTTGTTGCCTGCAGCAAGTTACTGTTATGAAGAAGCAGGTGGCTCTCAGTAGTGAAAGAAGACTTCTCTTCCTTGCTCGTTACTACCAGCGAGTTCCTCTTCCCTTTATAGGGAATGCTCAATAAAACGTACTTAACATCTGGGACTCACCTTCAGCAGCACTGGAAGCAGTAAAAACAAACTTAGGTGGAGCATAGCACATGCTCAAACATTCCACTGGGAACTAGAAGCCAAGAATGAAAAGATAGGTGGAACATAGAATATAGTAAATATTCTGCTGGGAACTGAAAGCCAATGGCAGGGACAGGTTTGGTGTGCTATTTTTACTTTGGCTATTGGAAAGAATAATGGTAGGGGAAGCTTTTTTTCTTTCTTATTATGTCTGCATGACACTTAGCAGAATGGGATCCTGGTATGTCCTAGAATTCATAGAATTTATAGATTGTAGGGCTGGAAGGGACCTCGGGAGATCATCTGGTCCAGCCCCCTGCACCAAGCACGAAAGATAACTGAGGATCAGGTGACCCCAGCAAGGTGACAGTCTAGTCTCCTCTTAAAGATTTCCAAGGTAGGTGATTGCACCACCTCTGGAGGGAGCTTATTCCACAGGCTGGACACCCTGACTGTGAAGAACTCGATCTTTCAGGAGTTTATGGCCATTATTCCTGGTTTTCCCCTCAGGTACCCTGGTAAACAGTTACTCACTGAGCTCTTGATGTACTCCCCTAGTGTAGCGGTAAACTGCTACCAGGTCCCCTCTCAGCCTTCTTTTCCTCAGGCTGAAGAGTCCCAAATCCCTCAGCCTTTCCTCATATGGCTTGCTGTGTAAGACTGATCATACAGGTGGCTTTTCTTTGTACTCTCTTAAGCCTGTCCACGTCCCTGTTAAGCCTGTCCATGTCCCTGTTAAAGTGTGGTGCCCAAAACTGGACACAGTACTCCAGCTGTAGTCTCACCAGTGCTGAGTAGAGCGGAAGAAGTCTGGGCTCCCCCTGCACTGGAAAGAAGCAAGCTCTTGTGGCTGGAAGTCCCTTCAGCTGAAGGGTTCCCAGCTGTCTGAACACCCCTCACACACCCTGTGGCTGGGAGATCACTGCAATGACCTCCCTGCCCTAAGGGTGCATGAAACCACTGGGGCTGGAAGATCACAGCTGTGCCCTGTACCTTCTAGGACCCAGCTGGGTCCCAGCATCGAAAGGCATGCTGCAGGTACCCAGCTTCTGCAGCTGTGGGACTCTGCTGGGACCCAGAGTCCACAGTTGTTGGGGCTGAGAGTTCCCAGCAGTTGCGGGACTCTCAGTCCCAGCTGGGCAAAGTCACCCCTGTGGCTGGGAGCCTAAAGCTGATGGGGCTTCCAGACTCATGGGAGATCCTGCTACACGTGCAAATTTAAAGTTTTTGATAGTAACCAGCTATAAAACATTTTCAAGGTCTAATTTGATAGCTGGTTGGAGATTTTTATTGCTATAAGTACTTTGCACATGTAGCCAATCTCCAGGAAATTGCTTAATTAACCAGTTAATTGTGCAACACTTGCAACATGTAGAGGGGGGGCAAAGTTACTACGGCTTGGATTCTAGGAGAAGAGATGTGTGGTAGTAAGGTGATAGCCTTTGGAATATCTCATTCCTTAGCTTTGACTTAGTGATTTCCATTTTCCCTTATGTTGAAATAAGAAGCTGAAAAAAGTGAAGATTCTGCTGGAGGAACTGGTCTGTCAAGCTTGCATCGGACCTACAGCCAGGATTGCAGCTTTAAAAATAGCATGTACCATGTTGGGGATTATGTCTATGTAGAACCCGCAGAAGCCAATTTACAACCTCATATAGTCTGTATTGAGCGGCTATGGGAAGATTCAGCAGGTAAGGAATTCTTTACTGTATAAAAACCAAGGCAATGTAAGTTTTAAATGTTCCCTGCTAATACTTCCAGCTTGAGCTTTCCTTACTTGGGTATTTAGTTTTCACTTACAAAAGTATACGTGTAGTGATTATTTTGTAAACAATTTAAAGGTTTTGCATGTTGGAAAAATTCTGCTGAGTGCCAGCTATCCTCTTTTTTCCCTTGTTATGAACATCCTGCAGATGAAACAAGCTTGTTTTTGGTTTTGACGTTGCCCGTTTAAAAGTCTATCAACTTCTGCTTTTTAATGAACCTAGGAAGAACAAAAGGGTCTTTTCTGTGCCTGGAAAAGTATTCACTGTTGATAATGCAACCAATGCTGAATGCTTTGAGTGCACCACAACACAAGATGTGTTCAGAACCTGTGGTTTAAATTCCAAAACGGGGTCAAATCCTGCATACCCTATGCAAGCTTACAGTTAAACTGTATTTAGGACTAATTTCACCTATTTGTGCCTGGGTGTCCTTTATCAGAAATGGGTGACTCTCTAGCTCAGGGTGTCAAACATATTGCCTGCGGGCTGGATTTGTCCCATAGAGCCAAATGATCTGGCCTGTGAGTTGCTGAACTGGCCCCAACCCCACACTCTGCATGCAACACACGAACTAGACCTAACTGGGCACACTGTGGGCAGTACAGTGACATGGTCCAGGGTGCTGCAATGTAGCCCACACCCTAGACCCCCTGTACCACATGCAGTGCCATGTCTAGCCCACATGCCACAGCCAGCACATGCCCTGGGCCAGCCCTGAGGGCTGGCACATAGTAAGACCCAGGACCAGTGCAGGCTGTGCGTGCTGCACTTGACACAGGGGGCTGGCAGACCTGGAGATGGAACACAGGACCAGTTAGCATAGAACAGGGGTCGGCAACCTATGGTACGCGTGCCAAAGGTGGCACACGGCATGGTTTTTATTGGCATGCAGGCTGCTTGGGGTGGGAAGAGGCATGCCCAGATTGAGCAGCACGTGGCTGCCCGGGAACAGCCTTGTGCTGCCTCCAACCCCAGCCCCAGAACAACCTGACTGCGCCACTGACCCCAGCCAGGTAAGAGCCCCCAGCCCCAACCCTAGCCCTGCACCACCCCCAGCCTCGGCTGTGGCCGGGGGTCATCAGCACCCCGACGGGCCTGGCCCCAGCCCCACTCTCCCAGCCACATGCCGCCTGCAGGCCCCAGCCAGCACCACCACTGTGGCTGACCCCGGGCCCGGGCATGCTGTGGATGGGCCCAGCCCCAGTCAGTACCGCTGCCAGCGTGGGCCCCGGGCCTGACCCTGGCCACATGGTGCCGGAGGGCCTGGCCCCAGCCGGCACCACTGCCCCCACCCACCCCAGCCCAGTGCCACCCCCAGTCTGGGGCTGTCGCCAGTGCTGGAATGAGGCTGGGGCCCAGGCCCATTCCGGCGCTGCCAGAGGGCCCACCCACGTGCTGCTGGCAGGCCCGGCCCGGGCCAGCAC